CCACCTCGTCTCTATTTGTTTGCCTGTTTCAGAGGGTGAGGGGGATGATGTGTAATTGTTTAGTCATGTGACCAGTGAATGAAATAATCTCAGAACCGTGAATATGTGTGTTATGTGTACATAATAATGTAAATTCAGCTTTTAATAATTTTTATTCTATACAAAATCTGCTGATTTTAGAAGCATTAATGTCAGTATATCGGTATCTGCAAATATCGGTTATCGGCCATAACAGTGATCTTAATATCGGATATCGGTATCAGCCCAAAAAATTTCATATCGGTGCATCACTAATTTCTACCTATTTCGTTTGACTCAGTCACTTTGACTGCTAGAGAATTTCTCACCAGTTTCTGTGGGCAAGATAAAAATGGAACCCCAAGATTAAGACATTTTACAGTCAAAGAGTATCACCAGCATTTGATCGGTCTCTCCATCCCTCATAATTTATTTTTTGTTTTATATAATTAAAGTATAAAGGAAGAGAGAAAATTTCACAGAGGTAAATTTGATCACCAGAAAGACTAATAACGATTCTCCAGCAGTTTAGTTGGATTTCATTTTTGGTTGAAAAAACATTATTTAGCTAATCAAATTAATTATTATCTGAAATTATAAACCTAAATGTGAAATTTTTGACCTTTAAATGCGGCTGACTGCTCAAGGCCATTCTAGAAGTGATGGTTTAGTGGCGGTTCTAGTGTTAAAAGCATGTTATTGATGTTTTTACGGCATAATTAAACCTATTTTTTGCATTTCTTGCAAAAGTATCCTAATGGTTTAATACGGATTCCTCCTCCGTGTTGCACACGTGATGTGTTTTACCGTTGAAGAACTTAATGATGTCTGTGAAGTCCATGTTGTTCTCCAGGATGATGTCCCTGTACAGCTCCACCAGCGCCAGAGCGATGAAGAGGACGAAGTGACCGGAGGAGACGTGCTTGGCTGCCCAGATGGTTTCCCAGACTGCAAACACATCATCATACACCAGCTCTGCAATGCAAAGCACAAAGGAATCAAAAGCTCGTCGTGACTTTACTTAAGAGTTTCTTTAGAAGTTAGGAAAACTGTCTGTTCATGGTTATTCATCCTGCTTAGGTGCTTCAATTGGCTTTTCCGATTTTAAAGGGGTCTTTAGCTTTTAACTTTCAGTGCTTTCCTTTAGGAATTTGGGGCAGGAGGAACGTCTGAGAATTTCAGTGCGGAAAGATGAGAGGAACAAGACGTCTGATGACGCAGTAGATGTTTTGAGCTTCCACAGATAAAGTTGGAGAGCGACGCTCTGTGATCTCTCAAAGGAAACTTCAGTAAAAAGCATCAAGTATTTTCCCCGTTCTGCACAGTTTTCTAAAACGATGAACCGAAATCCTTTTCAAGCTGTGTTTCCAAGTGCTTTGACAGTTTCCTCACAAGCAGAAGAGCAGAAAAAAAAGCAAATCTTCTCTTTTCTTTTAATTAGGATGAACTCTGTGGATCTTCCTCCCCCTGTACCTCGTTTGAAGTCTAGGAGAAACCAACGGTAGCAGAAGTAGAAGTGGGTGTAGTCTCCATTCTGGTGCATTAGCTCGAACAGCTCAGAGTCCAGAATCTACAACCAAAGGAGATCAGAACAAACAGCCTGTAAGGGATGAATAAATTCAATTTTCACTACAGTAGGAGAGAAATGGGATCACCTGGATGAGAGAGCGCATGTTTGCAAAGTGAGTGTCCATTGCCCCCCCGTGTGGAAAGTTCTGATTCATTCTCTTCATCAGTTTGCTGAAGCAGCTGAAAGCTTTGGCCTCTGAAAGGACAAAGACAGAAGCTGGAGTGAGAAAACGAGGGAGCGAGCGAAGGCTTCATCAATAACTGTAAAAATAAACAATATCAGAAAACCTGAGAATCAATGTGGTGACTCACCATCATCCAGGATGACTAGAAGTGGAGCCAGCAGGTCACACATGCCCTGCACGTATCCGATGTCGAGATGCCTCCAGATGTAACTAAAAATACAACCAAACAAGCTGAACCCAACCCCTCTACCTGAGTCACCGCATTCCTCCATCCAACACTTTATTATGTATGATGCATTCATGGTCCAGGATATAATTTGTGGAAGTGGGAATCGAACACTTTGAGCTGCTGATGAACTGTGGAGCAGTTAGATGTAAAAAAAAAAAAAAAAAAAAAAAAACCTCAAATTACAAAATCAAATCACCGAGGATCTGACCGCCAAGGTGCCTGCCTTCGGCTACCACCTTGTTCCTCATAGTAAAAGGACTACAGTGGCCACTGTTTGAGTGTGAGAGTCTTTTGTGGTTAAGTTGCTGTATTATTATGTAGAAGGTGAAAGCCTCTTTAGGTTTTGGAAATAACCCTGAGTCTTTTAGTTAATCCATCCCACATCTTTCTTTCTTTTGTACCATCCTGTTGGACACTTAGGTCTGATGGGTTTTCTTTTGTTGCTGCCAGTTAAAAGAACTGAGCCGAACATTGGACTCTCTGGAAGCAGAGTTTCATGGGCTGTGTTAGTTTTATTGCTGTTAGGATTTCCAGCCCTTGGTTTTGTGTTATCTTCTAATGTTTTAATAAATTTGTTTTCTTTACACAAGTTCCTTCTCGTCTCCCTGGTTTCCCCTCCCTGAAGAAGGTAAAGCGTAACACACCTGACACACAATGCAGCCAACCGATTTGGCCCCTCCCACGAGTGGTGAGCTCATGGGAAGGGGGACCCATGCCTCTCCTTGGGGCTGCGCCCAGCAGGGCTCCATGCGTAAAAGCCTGGCCACCAGACGCTTGCCAGCATGCCCCAACTCCAGGCCTGGCTCCAGAAGGGGGCCTCGGTGACCGGGCGAGGGAACACGGTTTCCATTTATATTTTTCCTCATAAAAGGTCTGTGGGCTGCACTTTATCTGACCTCTCACCTAGGACCCGTTTGCCATGGGTGACCCTACCAGAGGCATAAAGCATCAAACAACTTCGCTCCTAGGAACATTGGGACACTCAAACCCCTCCACCACGGTAAGGTGGCAGCCCAGGGATGGGCGGTGGTTTTTAATCGGAAAAGGGTGGAATGCCTTCTCCAGGCCAGGGATGAGGTCCTGCTCCAAGTGGAGGAGTTTAACTATCTAGGGGTCTTGTTCACAGGTGAGGGGAAGATGGATCGGAAGATTGAAAATGGATGGAAGGAAATACAACTATAATTATTGTGTTCATTTATAATCATATTGTTCATTTAGGTTATTTTCATGGAGTTTTATACATAACTGCCCATCTTCATTGGAAACTTCAGATCCTGACTTTCCATTTTGCTCATTTGTGAATAAAATTAGAAGTATTATTCAGACAATAATGAACATATATCTTCTCGTTCTGTCCCGTAGTGCCTGCAGGTGTCGGCGTTTTACCTGCACATAACGTTTCGCAGCTTCCCCAGGTTGGCGGTGGTGAAGTACCAGTAATTTCTGTCACAGCGCTGGACGTCCTTTTCGATGCGATGCAGGTTTAGAGTGTATAAATCCAGTAGGTCTTGCTGAAACAAATGAAATCATGATAATGAATACAAATATTGTGTTATATTTTAGGGTTTTCTCATGCCTGATGTGGAAAAAAAAGCCCCCATTTTATAAATGAATGAATGTCATTGATTAAAAACGGTGCACATACAGTGTAAGGGCTTCCAGCTGAGTCCTGAGAGCTCATGTCGCTCTTCATGCTGTCATCAAACGGGGGGTAAAGGCTCTCCATCTCCGGCTCTGAGAGAATGGACTCGGTTCCCTCTGGACTGAACTTCTCCTCCTGCTTCAGCCGTGAATCCACAGGAAAGGGGGGAGTCTCACAATGTCCCTTCCTGCTCCAAGGCGCCATGGAGACTTTAGCTTTGGGGATTTCCTCCATCTCTATGGCTGACGGAGACTCGTCTGAATCAGTCATGGCTTGAGTCTCACAGCGGGCTCCTCTGGTGTCTGCAGACAAAGCCAGGTTCTTTCCCACCTCGGCAGCTTTGAAATGTTCCTGTGAAACTTCTGTACTCGTCTTTGATTTGTCCACTTCCTTCATCTTTTTCACATTCTTCTCCTCAGGCCCAGGATCTACGTCCACATTCACCACCACCTTTTTTGGAGGACTTTGTTTAATGTGCTCTCCTTTGGGCGGTGCAGCAGCTGCTGGAGCTGTTCTAGTTTCTTTTCCTGATCCAGACTCTGGAGTTTTAACTTGTTTCATGTTCTTCTGAACCGTTGTCTCTGACTCAACATTTTCCTGTGCTCCAGGCAGCAAATGTGTCTCTCCTTTATCTGATTTGTCAAAAATCGTCTCAGTTTTAGTTTTTTCCACCATCTTGACCTCACCACATGCTTTCTCTTCCTCTCCTTTGCCCTTCTCTTCACTCATCACCCGGCTCTCTGTTGTCGGCGCGTCACCTTCTCCCTCTGCGGGTTTGGCTGAGCTCTGCGATGCATGAGACGCAGCTGTGCATCTCTGGCTTGCATCATGTGCAGAGCTGTCCTCTGTGCTGAAGGAGCCATCTGACAGGCCGGAGGTGATGGAGAAGTTTCGTGACGAAGGATGCCCTGAGTCGGGTGAGTTCGTTTCATTCTGTAGTGCTCCGTTGGGCATCTTCGGCACCTGTTTGGCTTCTTCGCTCTTGGACTCCATTTCTATCTGCTCCACCTCTTCCACGGACTCAAACACCTGAAAGAACAAGCCAAAGGGAAGCCAGCTACTCCAGGGGAAGGGATGGGAAGATGAGACAAACTAGCAGGAATGAGATTGCAGCGGTGAGAGAGAATTGGTTCAAAATGTCAAGATCACATGCAATAATGACAAAGAAAGTCATCATTATTAGCATTTTAATTGAGGTAATTAAGTTTTCTGGAAGAATTAATTGAGGAACAAAGTTTTAATGGGTGTAAAAGTGTTTTTGATACCTGCGTGCTGCTGCTGGAGTCGCTCTGCAGGCGAGGAAGACTCTGCCTATCAGAGCTCTGAGAGGAGTGGGACTGCAGAAGTTGAGTCAACCAAAACAGAAAAAAAACATGCATTTTTTTTTAAATTCATGTAATATTAGAAGGTATTAAAATAACCTGATATAAAAAACTCTGGAGCTAATCCTGATTTATCTGCAAGCACAAAGATAATGTGATGATGTCATTTGGTGTGTGTATTCCTAATCCCCAGGAAGAGCTCCATTACATATTTTAATCCTTCCACCATCATTCACCTTTTAATGATTAAACACCTACTATTATCTTGCATATTAAATATTCAGCTCACAGAGCCAGGCTACGGCATGAGTAAACAGAGCTGCTCCTCCTTTTGGATGCTTTTACCTCGTTGCTCACAGTGGAGTCGTGATGGGTCATCCTCTGACTGGAGCTGTCCATGCTCGCCCCAGAAGAACACTTGGCCAACGCCGCAGCGTGCTGCTCCTTCTCTCGCTGGCGAACAATCTCCTCACAACCCAGCCACTCATCCATCGTCTGCTGGTAGTAGGCCTGGACTTCGTCATCCACCTGTGGTCGGAAGTCACGGATTAGTGAGTCAGAAGGAGAAGCAAAGCTCATCGCTGTGAAACCACAAACCTCCTTTCTCTCAGCCTCAGATGTCCCGAACTGGTAATGACCCAGCAGGAAGGGCCACACCTCCTTACGCAGCAACGGGTCCACGCCACCGAAGTAGACCAAACGGAGAAGCTCCTGTTCCTTGCAGGTCTAATAAATAAAACGTGCATTCTTTAATCAGTCTCACTGCTCTGCTTAATGTGACAGTTATCTTCCACGCACCGACAAAACAACCGCAGCAGTGGTCAAAGTGATTTCTCAACTTAACGACATCTTAATGTTTCAAATAAATGTTCAGATCTCCAGTCCAACTCCGACTAGCCCTGAATAACGTAATTAACATCCTACTAAATTGTGGGCGTAAACGTCGTTAGAAATTCACAGAGCTCATTAGTCCCACTTCATGCACACTGAGCTGCACGATTAGAGGAGGATGAGTGTGGAGTCGACAGAAGACAGATGGAGCGAAACAGAGATGCTGGGTGGGGACGCATGCAGTGGAGGCTCGTCTATAGGGGTCGCTGCCCTTTCTGACGTGAAGGAAGAAAACAAGTCCAAAGGGTAAAACAATCTACAATATAAATTCACGTATTTACTAAATGTGTTAGTTTTGCTTGATTCTGTGTCCCTACATGACTTTTGAATTATTTACTCATCATTTTCAACAACTGTCTCTCAAAAAATAGTAAATTTCCTCCAACAGACTCACTAAAACTCACACCTGGGGCGTTGGGTAAAGTGCCCCCAAACTGCGGCAGCCAATCATATTTGGTTGCTAGGGAGAAGTGGAGATTTTTATGCAAACCGGCGTCACGGACTTTAATGTCTCTGGGGCACTGGCCGACAGCACCCCAACTACTGAAGACAGCTAGCTATCGTTAGTCTCTTATATTATATAACTGAATAAAGAATGCTTATTCGTGCATGCTATATAATGAAACCACCATTTATTTACTCACCATGATTTGACAACTAAAGCTTCACATATATATTAAAATGCCTTTGACGTATTTTTATTAAAGCTGCTAATATGGTCACACTTTAAGGTTAAAGTAAAATGCATGTTCAAAAGCTGCATGAGAAGTTACACTCTTGAACTCAGCAGCAAGGACCAGTAGAGCATTACATGAGTTAATGGTGGCCCAGGTCAAAGTGCACAAAGAGATAGGGCACCAGACCCCAGAAGGAACTGGGAGACCCTGATTAGGGCTTAGAAATAGTCAGGGTTTAACTTTAAACAATTGTTTTCATTGTCTTTTATTATTCACCTAGGAACGCGTACTCAACACTAACATGCTAGAAGGTGCTGAACTCTCACTCCCTCATTCACACACACTCACTACTGATTTATAAACATTGAGCTGAAATCATACCTGTTGCTGTTGCAGTGAAATGTATTGGTTTTAATGTTCTAAACTGGAAATCTACTTCAACCTCTATATTGTGTCACCTCTACTTCCCACTAGAAGCATCAGCGGAGCAGCGGAACGATTTACTTGCAGCACGCCAGTACACACAGAGAGACCTTCAGACTTCCTCTGTCGTTCACCTCGCTGGACTTGGAATATCACAAAATCCCTCAAAATTATCCGCCATTAAACCAAAAAGAAGGAAATCACATTTGATATTGCTGTTTGATGTCATACATAGTGCTGTTCCTCTCCACTGCCAGGATTAAAGCCATGAAAAACACACAGCTGTACTTCTGGAACAATGCTAGTAGTAGACAAGCCGTTAGATCACTTGTATTGACATCTACATAGATATGAAATGTATTTTTTTAATTACCAGGGCTTTTACATTGAAACTGCACGTGATTTCCTGTCTAGCCCTATATTACCTGGGGAAACTGTTGTGTCCCAGAAGTGGCTCGCAGAAAGCATATAACCTGATCTGATCGTCAGCGGCGAGGCGAGCCGCATCTGGGACGCGCCTGAAAACATAATGGCTACTCATTTGAAGCAGTGATGTTCTGCTTCCATTTTGATGCCTTCAGTGTGAAGTGGGCGTTAGTGTCACCTACTGGTGGAACCAAGTATTGCGCTTTGAGGTGAGCAGATGATGAATGACCCACACTTGTATAGTGCCTTTCAGAGTCAGGGGACTCCAAAGCGCTTTACACCACAGTGAGCCATTCATCCATTCACACACACACTGGTGGGATGAGCTATACTGTAGCCACAGCTGCCCGGGGGCACACTGAAAGATAATTGGCTGAGACACAGAGACTGAAACTCAAGCTGGAAAACAAACTAATAACCAAAATAAAATGTGAATAAGAACAAAACTTCAGTTGCTGTGTATTTATTTGAGTAATATTATTGCCTAATAGTATATTATTTATTATCAATTTGATAATTGACTTCATTTGTAAAATTACTTATGAATTAATGCTTTGAATTATCATCATTCTCCTGTTCAGTTGACGACCTACAAAGGCCTAAGAAGGGACATCTTTTCACACTTAGCCCCACCGAGAATTTTTTCCACCAGCCACCATTGGACATGTGTGTGAAGAGTGTGTGTGTTGACGGACATCACTCGGCTAAGGGAAGTTTGTTTCGCAGCTTGGTGACAGCCGCATAACTTACAGTGCTGTCCTGGAGGAACGTCTGCCACACGTCTTCGCTGAGCCCTTGGGTGGCGTCGCAGGGCACGTCGGGCGCCACGATGGTGTGGTTGACGAGAGCGGAGAGGTGCGTACGCACGGTGGACAGGTGACGACAATACGCCAGCCCTGATTGAAAGAAAAGCTAATTACTTAACATCTCTGAAAGTTATTTATCCATCAGTGCAGCATGTTTTAATAGTAAACAGAGTTTTAATATGCGTACATCCGTAAAACGCCCTGGAGATGATCTGATATTTCATGTTGTCACACAGCAGCTTCAGGGGAGCCCTGCAGAAACAGGAAACATATTAACCACTCAGCTCTTTTAGTTGAGACATTATCATTAATCTGTCATTAAGCTCATGCATGTCACTTTCCATGTTTTCCAGAATGAATTATACTATCTCTGATGTTGAAGCTTATTACGAGGTTGAGGATGACCTTTCGTGAAATGATAAACTGCCACACGGAGCAAAATGGCCTAGCAGTTTGTCTTCTTTTCCCTGCCACGCTTATCAGCTAATTCCCTCAACACGCTCTCTTCCCAGAGACTTAAATGTCACATAATCGTCGCGTAGGTGGCTACTCCTTTCTTCTCATGTTCACTTGCCTTTGCACCGCCACATCTAATACGACTCGGCGTAGCGTCTCACCTCTCGTGGTTGCACCCCTTGTGCGTGGTCCCATCAGAGCAAGTCCCCTGAGAGCAGGAGGAGCACAAAGACTTCCTGAGAGACGGGTGCCACATCACCGCTCCTTGATCTAGATCTGGAGGAGTCACTGTTTCCATAAAAAAAAAAACATCTTAATTATCACTTCAAAGTGCCGCGCTGCTCAGGCTTTCAGTGAAACAATTAGATGATCCGAATGCAGATGCAAACACTTTTGCAGCACCTGAATCGTGACCTGCTTAAAGCCCTTCAAAGTAAAGTTTGTCTCTGTTGGCACAAAGAACAACTAAATCATTATGTTATTCAGGAGAGACAACGCATTGTAGCTGGTGGATTATTAGGAAAAAAGAAACAGCCCGTTTTAGTCGAGAAGCCAGATTTGATCAATCAGATGTTAAAAGGTCACAGGAGTCAGAAAAGGTTTGACACAAGGTGGCTTTAATAATGCCGCACATCAATAAACGTTGCCAGGGGTGGAGGTCAGAGCAGTAGGATATTAAAATTGGGGAAATAAAGCAAAGCAGGCTGACAGATGGGCTGATGAGGAGAGGTGTGACAGTGTTAAAGCGGCTTCCTGTGAGTGACGACGATTCTTCATGACAGCTCCGGGACCTCCTGGGTTCAAACCGGGTGTCTGCTTTGGAGGCGGACCGTTCCATCAGTTTCAGGGAGAAAGAGGGGGGTATTCTACAGACACCGTAATAAAAAACAACAACATTTAAATAAATATTCACTAATCCGAGCGAAGGAAACCCACCAAATTCTGACTGGCTGTTAGGAAAAATAATGCGGAAGACATAGTCTGTAGCCTCGTCCTCCTCCTTGTCTGATACGGAGTCCGAGGATCCAGATCCCACAGGCACCCTCTTCTTCAGTTTAGGAAACACCTTTCCCTGAAAGTAACATGAAAGTGTTCAGCTATTAGAGCCCAGTGAGTCATCCGTGTGTGGGACGATGAGTGTTAGCTTGAGTAGGTCCATTAATGGAGTCTGAACACATGTGGCTGGGTTTTATTATTCAATTTAGCTCACAAAAGCAGCCAGTCGGGTGAGCAGATCCTTATTGTGAGGCCGCTCTGAGGGAGCACTAAACATCATCAGTATCGCCGAACACCAAACCGAAATGAGGCAATCGATCGGATTTCAAATCCAAATGGCTTTTTTATTGATTCCTCAGTTTGATTAACTTAATTTAACGTTTTAGTAATGTTTCCTGGAGGAATGCCAATTGTATGTTCTCTGACCTTTCCCCTCTGGGACCAGAGCGGAGGGTCCAGCTGACCGTGAGGGAGCAGGCCGTTCTCCAGGCAGGACAGGAACTGGAGCAGATGGCCTCCTCTGGGGAAGCGGATTGGAGGTCTCTGGATCCCGTCCTGACTGACCAACACCACCGTCCCCCCGCTGTCCACTACAGTGCACAGATGCAGAAGAACTTACACACTGGCCTTAAAATTTAAGATTAAGGTAACGAGGTTTTTACCTTGCTGATGACAATGCAAATAAACTATTTCCTCCAAGGGGATGGTCATGGCGTAGTCCCAGTATACGCTGGAAAATAAGCTTAATCAGTTGCAACTAAAGCCTTTGCATGAGAGAACAAACTCATTAGGAATGTTTATGAGCGAGAATTGAGTGAAAATATTAAGAGACCACCCTTGTATGTCGATATTCATAAGGAGTAGTCAGCAGCATGCATATGAGCAAACAGGCGGTAATCTAATGCTTCAATCGATCATTTTTGTAAGAGAAACCATGCGTGGCTGCAAAACATGACATGGTTTTGGTGGTTTGAGAAGATGTCTCACAGCGTTTCAATCAATAATCCATCTGCTGGCTGCTGGAGAGCTGAAAATAGGCCTTGCCAGATCAGACCAGCAGTTATTCAACGCTCTGGGCCTCGGAGCGACAGACTAACTCACTGCATTATTCAGTAACACCCGGGTGCTAGAAAACAGCAGAGCATCAGGAAAGAGAGATGCAGCCGAGGCACATGTTCTTTCTGAGAGGAGGATCCCAGATGACAGCAGAGGGAAGAGGTTCGTTGGTACGTTACCTGCGTTCATAGTCCAAGTCTCCAACAGAGCCGTTCATGAGCTGATTAGGAGTCCACTTCAGCGTCATGATGTCAGACGTCTGGTGCAGAGAGAGGTAACCTGGGATAGCCTCCATGTCGTCCCTCTGAAACATCAGGAGAAGAGTTTAACATCAGATTGCATTCATTTGTTTTTTGTTTTCTAACGAATGTGCAAAGAAGTGACTTGTGCGTCGTTCTCTGTGAACAAAAGCTCTGGCACTCCTGTTTCAGGAAGTAGATGTTAGCCGAAGGTGAGGGGGCAAAAAATGGTAAGATTTGGAGTCTTAGTCATGATATTGGGATATCTCACCCATGATTGGCTAACAGCAGCGTGACTCTACCACTGACTGTTTGCTTTGCAACACTGATGTCATATCTCCACAAAGAACTGAAGGAGCTCTGCCATGTTTTGGAGTTGCTAATGCTAACAGTTAGCTTCTACTTGAGACATGCTCTTTTCTCTCCTGGTCGCCAAATCAACAACAGCCTTCCCCATCACAAGTCAAGATGGCTGAGTCTATGATGCTAATTTTCAGTATGACATAGATCTGAGTCTATTTACTATTGCAGCTAATGCAGGAAATAGTGGTAGAACACTATTTTCACCTTCAGCCTGCATGTAAAACTCAAAGTGACCATTCACATTTAAAAAATAACAACTAAAAAACCGTTTCTCAGTGAACTTGCTCTTTAAGCGCTGGCGCGAGTTGGGAGAGTTACCGGCTGCACGAGCACGTTGTTTTTGCCGAACAGCAGCGTGGCCCTGTTGTTCTGATGCAGCGACTCCACATATTCACGAGCTGACGGAGACGGCGACGGTCGCTCATCCATGCTGCTGCTGGAGTGTCGCTTCTGGATCTGCAACACCACAGAAAACAAACATCGGATCAGAAAACACACCGATGACTAACACTTACTTGTTCGTGTGCACCGGTGCAGCTGCTGTCAAATACCAGCGTTGTTTTACTGACACACACACACACACACTCACTCCCACAAGAACACGCAGCCACGGTGGTGTGTGAGGCAGGCCGAGTTGACCCGGTTCACTGACAGCATCACAAGGTCTTAGATACACTCTGTTTCTCCTGCCGTCACACTCTGTGCTTTTCTTAATGCTTCCCAAAAGTGAATTTCTGTTAGGTGTGTGCGTCAGCCTGAGATGTCACACTCACACACAACGCAGGTCTCTTCGTAGGAGAGTCCTGCCTGCAGACGCCACTATGGATCCGATGTCTCTGAACCAGCTCATCAGCTGATGGGTCTGTCCAGAAGTGATCGGCTGTCTTCATCTTTGTGTACTCCAAAGCACAAGGTCCGACTGTCACACAGGCCGCAGCAGCAGAGTCAGTTTATGTTACAACGATACAAAAATGGATTTGATAAATGATACCGAGCATCAGTCTCACCTAACAATGATGCAAGGATGGGTCCATCTACTGGGTCCATAAGGATTGCCTCTTTCTCATAATATTTACTGGAGAAAAGTGTGAACAGATGAGTTCAGTTGAGCCATAAAGAAGCCTTGCAACACAGGTGTGGATGATGTTGTTGTCCTTCAAACACACCTGCTGTTCTCCACCAGGTAGAGGACGATCTTGTCCAGCACTTTTTCAAACAAAGCCGTCCTAATCCACAGGTTCTTGTTTCCCGGTGGGTTGAGGCTGGGCAGTCGGGGCAACTTCCGAAGACTGTCTTGACTTTGTAAGCTTTGACTTCGTCTGGAGAAGACAAGCAGGTTCAGTTGCAACAAAAAAAAAAGACAAACGGATCAGCATTAGACTCTCAGGATTGATGAATAAAAAAGTTATAAACATTCATTAATTATAAACTGATAAAAGAGAAGGAGAAAAAAAGAAACAGCCCTTCAGACAGACAGCCGCTGTTTCCAGGATAATGAAACAGGCTTTGATGAAACGCTTTGAGGTTTTCTGTGATGTCTGCGGCTCTCACTTGGTCTCCATGACCTGCTCCAGCTCCTGGGTCTTCCTGCAAAGCTCCTCAGCTGGAGGGAAGCTTTTCCCCACCTTCATGAACAGGGCTGCGATCTTGTTGCTTCGCAGAAATCCAGCTGCTCGCCGTTTCAGCCCGTGCAGAACGCACGCCTCCACCGCAGCTGCGTGGACAGAAAGTTCACTCTTTATTTTTTTTTGACACTGCCTGAAAAAATACGACTCATCTGCTGCAGATTTGGTTTAGCTAAAGTTTAGTGCAACTTTTGTGCATGCCTTCAACGTGTCATACTCTGGTAAAAATAAAGTTTTTGTTGTCACAACAGGAAAAATTTACTCACAATTTGCAAAGAAACTTCAGTTTATCTCCTAATAACAAACATAAACTACAAAAGCGAACAAACGTGAAGAGTCAGGGTCATCCTGCACGTTTATGCTTCATCCTCAGAACTTTTGTTGTCTTTTCCCGCACCGAGGATTTGATTCATTCACCTGCCCGTTTGAGTCTGTTCCTATCGGCAAACAGCCCTGAACAGTCGACGAAATGTTTTGTTTGACTGCGACGTTGACCAGAACCGTTACTTCCTACGTGGCAGCACCTGGTGCAGAGTGTTGACATTTGAATTTTCTGTCAGGACTAATCCTGTGGCTCTGTTCACATGGGGTCAGAAGGAAGGCTGGGGTTGCCACGGCAACCTCTGTTGATGGAGCGATGGAGCTCTGGGAGAGACGAGCACAAGGGAGGGGCGGTGGCGGCGGCTCGCAGGGATCACGATTCTTCTTTCTGTCAGCCGTCTTTGCTCCACGCAACTTCTTTCTTTCAATCCAGTCGCTCTTTTCTCCGTTTCATTCGAGTTCTCTTTTCTCTGATGCCTTCCTTCCTCATTCCTCCCTTTCCTGC